AGGCCTGTCCAAGTAATTAACTGAAATAATTAGGGGTCAGATGGTCACAAATGGAAATCACTCTGGCCCAGCTGCCAACGCCAAGGCTGGCGGAGCCAAGGGGAACACGGGGAGGAGGCCCCGCACTGCCCAGCAGCCTCGCAAGCTGGTGGAGCTTGTTCTCCAGGGTGCTCAGGCCGGAAGCCCAACGGCAAGGCATAAAGTCTGGAGGTTTGCGTCCGCAATCAGCAGCGCACACTCGGCTAGAGGAGATTTCAGAACTGTCACACAGACGGGTACCTGTGCCGAGGAAGGGAATACAAGAGGCTCCTGGCATCGCGGCAGTGCTGGGCTCAGACCTGTGCCCCTTGCTCGGTGAAGAGACATTTACTTTAACACACTCAGCACGAGTCTTGTTAGCCCTTCCTTGGCTGCAGTCCTCACATGACGTGTGACCTTCAAGTCCTTGAACAGGGTAGAAAATTTCCATCCATTTATCTGTCCACTCACCTATTTATCTGCCCACCCATCCATGCACCCCCAGCCATCCACCCACACAACCAGCCATCCATCCACCCATCCACCTACCCTCTCACCCACCCATCCAAGCATCCACCCACCCACCTACCCTCCTATCCTCCTATTTGCCCACTCATCTACTCACCCACCCATCTACACACCCACCCATCCATTTACCTATCTATCCATCCATCTACTCATTTACCCACCCATCCACCCAGCCATTGATCCCAGTGGCACGGTAAGCCTCAGAGGCCCAAGGTGGGCATCTCTGAGCCAGCGCCCTCGTCCAGCCAGCTCCTGTGCTTGGGGAGGAAGAGGAGATAATGTGTGCAGGGGTGGGGTGCTCAGTGAAGGCACTGAGCTGAGGGCCCCTCCTATTACTTTGCTGTATCCTCACTGCCTCTGAACAAAGTTATTACTCTTGCAGGGCAGGGCTTGGTCCAGGGCGCTCGGCCAGGCGGACACTCCATCGGAGGCTGCCGGCACCCCACTGAGGGCTCCTTTTGAGACAGGTCAACTCGCAGTCACTTCTCTCTGATTATTCCCAGTGGAGGCTCCAACCCCAATGGGGATGGTGGTTTATTATCGAGCAGCAAACCCTGAAGGAAGGTTCTGGAAAACCAACTCATAGCTCAGGTACCAATGGAACAGAGCAAATGCGTTTGTGACTAATAGCCCTGAGCATAAGTGTGAGCTTTCACCAGTGAAACAGCTTGTATGTTTGCCAAGGCCAAAATATAATAACTCATTTACACCCTGCAAAGAAATAGTTTTTAATGAGTGGGTCACATTCACCAACAGCCGGGAATTGTGTTCTTTTCTGTTTTTGAAAAATCTTTTACATGGAAATAAGTTTAATGTTTGGATGTATGTTTATTAGTCTGGAGTCTTGAAGAACAAAGCTACCTTGTTGGTTGCAGGCAAATGAAACCCACAGGCGTCTGCTCCGGGGAGGCTTCGCTGCAGGCTTCAAATAGACCACTTCACAAATAATAAATTACTTAACCCTCAAGGCCACTAGAGGCCACTAAAAAGAAGTTTATAGTCAAGGCCCAGGGCTGGCCCTGGCTCAGTTGGTGGTGGAGGGATGTTAAGGAGACTTGGAACCTTGATGTGCTCTGGGGTCCAGTTCAATTTAATAGAGCCACCCCCCTCCCCCCGCTTAGACGGCACCTATAATTCAAACCTGTAACTTTGACCATCTGAGCCTAAGGGACATCGGGAAAATGAGAGGGGAGCGGAGCTGGGACTTCGAATGCAAGCCCTTCTAAAGGCCCAGACCTCAGGGCCTCCCTGTTGGTGCAAGGGGTTGAGTCTCAGCACTATGAAGCAATCCGAAGCCACTGTAGCACGAGTTCAATCCCTGGCCAGGGAGCTGACCCACATGGCACAGCAGATCTTTCCTGTCTCCCTGCTGCTCCCCTCAGCAGTGGATTTCAGTCTGCCTGTTCTGCTCCCCGCTCTGTCTCTGGTGAATCCTCTCACCCTCCTGCATGTATGGCCTACACCCCAGCCCTTGTATGCATAAATAAATAAATCTTAAAAAAATAAATAAAGGCCCAGCCCTGCAGGACAGAAGCAGCATACAGCCCTCAGGCCAGAGCTAGAATGTGTGACTGCCCTTTGCTTCCTGATGTGGCTCCCGGCCCAGCTGTAACTCTTGCGAAGCTGGGACACAAGCACCGATACCCTGTGTACCCACATCTGAACACTCAGTCCTAAGTGAAGAGAAACTGTTAAGGAAAATGTCCTACCTGCTCCCTTAACCAAAGTGCCTTGTCAATGGCTTGGAAGTCTTCAATGATGGCTTCTTGAATTCCTGGAAATGTATCCTAGATTATGCAGTGGGGAGAGCCCAGTGGTCTAAGTCCTCCCGCCTTCTCTCCCCAGCCCTGTCTTCATCCCAAGCCTCTGGGGATGACGAGTTCCCACTTGCACATTCAACCTCTGCTCCATCCCCCCGCCCCCTGCCGTCCAAATCCACCCTGGTCACTCAGTCCATCCTGGAGGAGGGAGGTCGGGAAGAGGTCATTTGTGCAGGGAATTCTGGGGTCCTGAGAGTGCCTACAGAATGTTCTGGAAGAGGATCCTAGTTCTGGGCGGGCATGTAACCTTGGCTCCACAGATTTGTCCTCCAGAAGGAAGAGCACAGGTGGAGGAGGACCAGAGCAGGGTCCCCTAAAACAGCGGGCCCCACAGAGGGGCCCCTCTGCCCAGGTCTGCCAGTCATGGTGACACCCCCCGTCATGGCAGTACAACGAGTTCCTTCACCCAGCCCAGCCCAGTTCTCTTTCCAGCAAGGTGATGGTGATGCAGGCGTCCAGGGGGGGTGATCATGGTGATGGCCGTGATGGCCAACTGCATGTCAGCTGCGCAAGGCCACAGTGCCCGGATATGGGGTCAGTTCACAGGATGCACCGCAGCAGCGCCCAGTGGCTCCCAGGACTTCCTCTTGTCTGTCCCTGCACTGTCTCCTAAGCTGCACTACCTGCACCACGGGAGGAGCCCACTGAGGAGGCTCCCTGGGGGGCTGCATTTGTCATGGAGACTGGGCAGAGACTGCCACCTCCCAGGTACCCAGTGACCCAGTGAGAAGACAGCTCCATTGAGCCTGGGTATACTCCACCAGAGCAGAGGGGTTGGGGCTAGAAGGGGTGACCCAGGGGAAGGGAGAAAGAAAAAGTAGAGTGGAAGGGTAGGAAAGATGGGGGGAGGCAAGGAGGTGAGAGGCGGAGGGAGCAGGATCCAGCTCACAGCTGAACACCCACCCCCATGATGGCTACCGTTTACACTGGGCTGAGCTGTGGAGCGCCCAGATATTTGGATAAATATTTCTGGGTGTGTCTGGGAGGAGGCTCCCAGCTGGCATGAGCAGTGTGGACCGAGTAGAGTAGATGGCTCTCCCAACGCAGGCTGGCAGCACTCAAGTCTTTGAGGGCCCCAGTCGGAGGAAGAGACGCAGGCAGAGAGAATCCTCTCTCTCGCCGCCTGAGTGCAGAGCTGGGTCTTTGGGTCCCCTGCCCCTCAGGCTGTGGACTCAGACTGGAGCTGCCACGTCAGCTCCGAGACATCTCAGCTGCCCAGCACAGGCGGCGGGGCCTTCCAGCTTCCAAAGTCACATGAGCTGGTTCCTCCTACTCCAGACAGAAAACAAGGACGAAAGAAGAGAGGGAGGGAGGGAGAGACAGACAGACAGACGGAGACAGAGAGAAAGAGAAAGAGTGGGTAGAGAGAAGGGAAGAGAGATGGGAGGAGGGAAAATAGGAAGGAAGGAAGTCAGCAGGCCGGAGCAGGTAGAAAAAAGGAACGGAGTGAAGGCAGGTAGAGGGATGATAACTAGGCAGGTGGCGTCCGCAGGCCTCCTCCAGGCTCTGTGTCTCTGGAGAGCCCCAATACGCCCCGCCCCCCACTCAAGAGTCAGCGCCTCTGCCACAGACCCTCATTTATTTCCTTCACGGAGCTCCCCACCACCCACCAGCACAGCTCTGCTCGCCATTTTGCTTTCTGCTGCAAGCAGCAGGCCCCTCTGGCTCACTCGAGGCATTCCCGGCCCTGGCTCGGCCTCGGCACCCGGGGGTGTCCTGGACCAGCAGGGGGCACGGAGCCGAGGAGGAAGGAAACAGAAGGACTGTGTTTATGTGAGAAACCACAGGGCTCCGGGATGCCCAGAAATGTCCCAGGCGCTTCTGGCGGCCCCGCCTCTCGTTCTCGGTCCCCAGCAAGGCCCGGCGCTAGGTCACGTCACCTGGCACTCACCTGCCGGCCCAGGAGCCCACCGCCTCCGGCAAACACGGCCTGTCACAGCCCAGGCGGGTGTCAGGCAAATACCACACCCCCGGGCCACGGAGGGCGCTTCAGAGGCCGCGCCCTGGCGTGTCTGTGTCTGGATATTTTGTTGGTCCAGAGCAATGTGCTTGTTTGGAACGCGGGCCTCCGGGAAGGTTCACTGCACGTCCAGGAGGCGGCAGGTGGGAAGGGACCCCGCAGACACGGCAGGTGCGGCCGGGCTGACAGCGCCCGGGCAGGGGGAGGGGCACGGGGAAGGGACACAGCGCGGCCGTGCCTCGGAGGGGACAGGCACCGCCGCTATCGTGCAGACGACCGTCTTCCTCCACGCGCGGCTACCTCTTGGGATGAAGGACCAGGGCTTCAGCTCCGTCAACAGAAGTTGTCCCAACCTGACCACCTGTTTCTTCAGAGCCGTCTCAGCAGGCACGGGGTTGTTCTCTGCATGACGTCTCAAGACGGCTGCGGCCGATTACAGAAGGGGCAAAAGCCCTGTGCCCATGGATAGGAACCCGAGCACAGCCCCAAACAGCGGACACGGCCCGGCCTCCCAGTCTGGATCTGAGAAATGGCCTGGCCGAACGGCCTCCCCAGTGGAGAGCTGCCAGGCTTCACGCCCCCGGGGCTGGCTCTTGGTGGGCAGTTACGGAGCCTGACACGGCCATCTTTTCCCCACCAACATCTCAAACCAGAAGGCAGGACCTCCTCCAGGCAGCCCTCCTGGGCTGCTCTGTGCCTCCTCAGAGTCTACGCTCTGAGCTGGGAGGTCCCACGGGGGGCCTGAGGGGCCAGGCATGGAACAGACATGATTCTGGGCACTGACGGTGTCAATTCTGTCCCCTTTGCAGACTTTCCCTCTCTTCTGGGAGGGGAGCCCCTGCCTGGGGTGCTGGAAGACGAGGGCCGGGCAGGGGCGGCTCAGTCATCCTCATCTTCGTCTTCGTCCTCAGTGTCCTTGTTGGGAGTGCACCTGTGGAAACACTGCACCACGGTGGCCAGAAAGAAGCTGGAGATGATAGCAGCAATGGACACGGCCACACCCGAGAAGATGATGATGAACAGGTCCGTGAGGGACAGGCTGAACCTGCACTCGCTGAAGCTGGCCTCCGACAGCTGGTGCAGGAAGACCCTCCTGTTCTCCACGGGCAGGGAGCACTGGATCTCATCGAGGCCTGCGGCAAGGGAAGGCAGAATGTCACCGAGGTTTAGGCGGCTGCCCAGGGTGGTTTGGCAAGCCCCTGCCTGTGAAGGCAAAGCAGGTGCATCCCCCAGAGTCCAGAGGGGAACAAAGTTGATTTGCATGAAATTAAAACTTTTGACAATGCCTCAGGGTAATCACCTTGGCACAGATCTGGAGGTCTTGGCCCCCTGACCTACCGGAAGGCGTGGTACGCCTTGGGGTTCAAATCCCTAGGGATGGAGATGAGAGGGCAGCAGCATCCACCTGGGCAACACCCACCTGGTGGGCAGGTACGGGGGAGGCACAGTGCCAGCGCCACCCAAGGCCCTCCATTTTGTAGGCCACCTTCCCAGTTCAGTGCTGCTCCCGTGACCTCCACAGCCCTAAGGACAAAAAGGAACCAAGTTCCAGCAAATGCCACTTCCTGATTTTGAAAATCCAGCCCTCAGCACATCTCCAGCATTATCCCAAAGTCAGGATGGTCTCTTCACACCTCACTAAGTAGCTAATTTCTCTCCTGCGAAGAGCAGTCCTGCTAATTGCACAACAATCCTGTAACACCCTTTGGGCTTTTATTTGTGTATCTTTCCTTTGCCAGCTCAGAAACAGAAGATGGAGGCAGAGTGCTGGAGCTTCCTCCTTCGCTCCGTCCTGGCCCAGCTTCTAAGCAGTCTGCCGCCAACCCACGGATGCTCTCCTCACCATGGGAACTGCTGCCTAGCAACCAGACTCACCGTGCCGCCCCTCCCTGATTCAGAGGCTACCTTATAAACCTAAGGATTTAGCTGGACCAAAGCTCTGCAGCTTTCTCCAGTTTATACCTGACTACAGTTTTTGACTGTTGCTTTTTCGTAAAAAAGCCAAACATTTTGCTTATTTGAGTTGTTTAAATGCATTTGAACAGGAAAGCTGTAGACAGAATATCAAGGTTTGCTTGCAGACACTTTTCTCTGAAGGAAAAGTGGAAAGATTAATTGACCTGACTCCCCCTTAACATTCCTGCCCTACCCCACCAGCAAAAGATGTTATGAAAATAAGCAAGAAGGACACTGTTGGAACACAGGCAGTTCCCGAATCCAAGATAAGGTTTGCAATCTTTGCTATTTACCTACAGAAACTTTCTAGAAGTCCTGTTCTTCAGTGAACTGTATTAACTGATAAACAGCCATAACAAAACAAGTCCATAGAGTCTGGCATTTAAATCCAACCTGTGCTGGCCCCGACTCCCCCAGCTGATTCTGATTTCTATAACATTCTTTGTGCCTTGAGATGAGGCTTGGCATTTCTACAAAGCGGCACTGTTAGAAAATGTCATCTCACATTTTTCCATGGCGATAGGAAAGGGGCTTATTTGAAAAACCCCGCAGACAACACCACGGCTGGGAGACCCTGGATCCCTGCTCAATGGGACCCGCTCGATAAGACACACTGGCTTAATGGGTTTTTGTAGCTCACAAAGGGCAGAGAAATAAGAAGTATTGGACAAAGAAAGTCAGCCAGTGTAGGGAAAATGGAGTTAAATCAGGCTTTTTTTTTCCCCTCCCCTCCTGCCCCTGGTCTCTATGGCCGGCACCTGTGGCCTTGCACACCTTCTGGGTTGTGTGGGCACAAGGCACATGCACCTGTAATTACGGGCACTTGGGCTGGGAAGCCAAAGAGCACAGGTGTGCACATAAAGGGAGGGCGTCACTCTGAGGCTGGGGGCTCAAGTTGCTCTCTCTGCTGGCTGGTCTGTTCCCTGATTCAGCATTAAAGGCCTATAAAAATCTACTGAGGGCTCCAAAATTCTCTTTCCGTTTGTGAGAACCAACAATGAAACTACCTGGCCTGCCATGGTTGCACAACCGCCAGCCAGCCAGGGCCCAGCAGAGGCGGGCAGGGCATGACTGCCAAAGCACATAAGACAGTCCTGTGAGGTTGACTGCAGATCTCAGGAGTTGGAGGTGCCCTGACTGTGGGGACCCCTCTTCTCTCCTGCAAGGTCTTACTGTACACTAAGGTTTCTCACCCTTGGCACTTTTGACACATTGAGTCGGATAAGTGCTTGGTGCAGCGGGGGGAGTGGGGGTCTGCTCTGTGCACTGTGGGATGCTCAGAGTCTGAGCTCTACCTGTGAGAGGCCAGCAGCGCTACCACTCATGTGACAGTCCCAAATGTCTCCCGACAGGGCCGCCTGTCCCCAGGAGGGAGTGTGGAAGGAGAAAGAATCCCCTAGTTGAGAACCAGACTGAAATGCTCACCTCAGTAGACCAGCTCCTAAGGCAGGCTGCTCTTGGTTACTAATCAGACATTTAGTTATTAAATGGTTTTCTTTAATCCATACATTAAACAAAACAGGTGAGGCTTTATGGGAGGGGGTGTCAGGACATGTGATGAAGAAAGAAAATGAAAAGTCATCCGGAGTGGTCTTGGGATGCCAGAGGGAAATTGAGAGGTGAGCTGTTGCGGCTCAAGGCAATCAGGAGAGAAGAGCAGGGTTTTGTTCAAATTGGGCCTTCACCTGATTGGGTGAGGCCCACCACATTGGGGAGGGCAATCTGATTTATTCAGTCCACTGATTCAGATGTTTATTGCATCCCAAACACCCTCACAGACACATTCAGAATAATGTCTGGCCAAATATCTGGGCACCCCATGGCCCAGTGGAGTTGACACAGAATTATTCATCACAGTGCTCTCCATACTTTTCAGCAGCAGCAGCAGCAGCAGCAGCAGGAGAGACACTTTCCTAATTACATTAGACTGGAGTGAAAATGAATGCAAAAATGAAAGCTTCCTTTACTTTTTCAGGAGACCTGAGCTAGCAGGTAGAAAATGCTCTGAGCAAAAGCTGAAGCTCATCAGGGACTCAGAGTCAAAAACGAATGAGCTGAGCCTCCCCGGTGGCGCAGCGGTTGAGCACTGGGTTGTGAAGCTGCCCACAACCTCTGCAGCGCCCGTTCGATCCCCGGCTGCTCCCTGGCCACCGGAGGAGGGTCCCACATGGCGCGCAGACCTCTCCTGCCGCCCGCTGCTCCCCCCAGCAGTGCACCTCGGTCCCTCTGCCTGCTCTGCTCCCCGCTCTGGCTCTGGTGAATTCTCTCACCCTCCCGCACTTCTGACTGGTAAAAAATATACACAACACAAAATTTCCCACATTAACCACTTCTGAGTGTACAATCCGGTGGCATTAAATACGTTTATAATGTTGCACACCTATCACCACTCTCTGTTTCCCAAACCCTGATCCCCCAACTCTGTTAAAAGAACTCCCCTTGCTCTGTGGCTTCAACATCGCAGCCCCTGGTCTACATTCTGCTCATGAGCTTGCCCGCTCCTATAAATGGGGTCCTACGACATCGTCGTTCTGGTTTTTGCCTGTGAGTTGAGGATCATACCGCTCACCTGCCAGGGAAAGTGACTCGCTAAACGACAGGTGCAAAGGGGCGTGTGCTGCATCAGACCATAGATGCTCGATAAATGTGCCCCCCTCCATGTGCACAGGCTCCAGTTCAGGCCGTGGATGAGGCTTAGAAGCAGTGGGCGGGTCACACTGGATGGGGAGAGACGCCCGTCCTTTTTTCTCGCCCCCAGCATCATGCTTTCAAGCTACATCCATGCTGTCACCTGTGTCAGAACGTCCTTCCTTTTTAAGCCCGAATGCCAGTCCGCTGGGTGCACCCATCTGCCCTGTTGATGGACACCTGACTCCTCCTTTACCTGGTCTGCATGGGATCAGAGAACCTGCACTGTGTCCTGTCCTGCCTTTACATCGGGTAAAGGAGGAGTCAGGGTCCTCAGTGGTTTTTGCAGGTCTTTTATTGGGGTTCACCAGGCATATGGCAGGCAGGGGTGCTAGGGGGCCAGGAGGCTGGCAGGCCTCCCAGCCCCCAGCAGGTCTTCACTCTGGGCTCTCCGGCCTTCTCTCAGCTTCTGCTTCTCTTGCTTCTCTCTCGGCTTCTGTTTCGGCTTCTCAGCTTCTACTGGCGTCCTCATGACGCCGTCCTTAAAAGCCCAGTCTTAGTCCAGGTGAATCCCATCTACCTATGCCCACACCCTACTCCAGGTGCCCACCATCAGGCATGCATTCAGGATCTCAAGGATCCATCATCTCTCCTGATGGCGGGAGGGCAGAAAAGCCTGATGCTTTTTACCTTACCCTACAGTGAGGCTGAGCATTTTTTCCACATGCTCATCAGCCTGCTTCTTTTTCTTTAAAGATTTATTTATGCATACAAGAACTGGGGTACAGGCCAGAGGTGTGGGGCGTGAGAGGATTCACCAGAGACAGAGTGGGGAGCAGAACAGGTGGATCTACTGAAATACACTGCTGAGGGGAGCAGCGGGCGAGACAGGAGAGGTCTGCTGCACCATGTGGGTTGCTTCCTGGCCAGCCAGGGATCAAACTCATGCTGCAGTGGCTGGCGATACAGCTTGATAGCACTGAGACTTAACCCCTGGACCACAAGGGAGGTCCTGCTCCTTTTTAAATGAAGGCCACTGTCCCCTAAATAGCCCGCGGGTGACATTTCACCAAGGATCAGTAGTCACTTTGCAAAAGGCTGGCCCTAAGCACATCAGCACAGCTGAGCAGCGGCTGAGGAAGCTCAGGGGCGACCTAGCGACTCCTGGGCAGGTTTTGAGAAGGAACAGGCCTCTCTCCCAACTCAGTGTAATCCACCCGCCTGCTGCTTCCTGAGCCTCATCTGCCCTAAACTGGGTACCTGCTCGCGTGGGGCTGCATTTATTGAGCACACATGATCTGATGCAGCACATGCCCTGACACCTGTGGTTTAGCCCGTCCCTCCCCCTGCAGGTGACGGCCATTATTTCAACTCACAGCTGAGAAATGAGCTAAATGGTGAAGCCAGAATTCAAACTATGAACTCAGTTCGGTTTTATTCCAAAGCCTGGCTTTCCCATCGCTCCAGGTTGTGTGGTGCTAGAGAAAGTAAAATCCCTGGCCCCATTATCTGCCAAACCTAAAATATACCAAACGCTTGGGGAGGAAGA